TTTGCAGACCCCAGAGTCCACCTATCCTCTTCAGGACTAAACTATTATCAATTTGCAATTTTCATTGATTTGCATATTTTTTTTTAAATATTGAATCAGAGTCTAAAAAGTCCACTGCTAATTCTATTCTTTTCAAAGAAAATGGCACAATTTGATTTTATGACATGTTGAAAAAAAAGAGTTTTAAAAATATCCCGAAAACAACATAAAATGATTATATAGATCTCTCTCTCTCTCTCTCTCTCTCTCTCTCTCTCTCTCTCTATATATATATATATATATATATATATATATATATATATATATATATATATATATATATATATATATATGTGTGTGTGTGTGTGTGTGTGTGTGTGTGTATTTTATTATGTATACTAAAAGACTGAGCAGAGGCTTACAATTACAATGTAAATTATGTGCTCTACAAGTAGAGAAAATCTTAAGTTTGCGCAAAACAGATTCTAGAAAAAAAGTTGGATCTAATTATTCTAATAAAAGTAAAAGTGATTGTTATACTGAGATTTGTTATTATTAATTCTGGAAATACAGTTACTTGCTGAATCTAAAAGTAACTAGAACTGTGCAAAATTCGTTTTATTTCAATTCCAATGCCCAAAGGCATAGCAATCATAAGTTAGATCTAGATCTAGCAGTTGTAGGCTCTCTGGCTGCTTCTACTTATAGCATAGGCCTGCTACTACTGATTCTAGACAGGGAATCTAGATCTTGCTGTCGCCTGCACTATTAAAGTCAAATATATGGTAAAATAAAAACAAAACTTAATTTTTTGTCAGTCAGTACATCCCAATTGCCATAGCCGCGCGTATTAACTCTCAGCAGTTCTTGGTATTTTGACCATTTTCGCCTACACGGCACCCATGGTTAGTATGATTTACCATAGAATATAAAATACCACAGAAAGTATGTCAAATTACATACCATTGGAAAGGAAATTGAATTTCCTATCAAATGAAGGTACTTTCATCATAATATGACCACTGTTGTCTATGTAGTGCTCTGTTATTAGAGGGAGGGACAGGGGAAAAAAAGATAAAATTTCCCAACATGTAACAGTCACAAAGAAAGAAAAAAAAAAGTGTTCTAAGATACCCAAAAAAGTTTATTATGGAGTAAAAGCACTTCCAATTTTGCAATGTGTGTCCAAATTTCATGCATATTGAAAAAAGGATTAAAAAGTTACAAGGTTTTTGACAAAAGATACATTTATCATGTTTCGCGAAGAAATAATGACGCGACATAGAAAAAATAAACATCAATGACTTTCCAGTCAATTTCCATCCACAAAATTGCACTCAAAACAGACAAGGCAATACCAAATATTTCAAAATGACAAGAACACACTGTATTCATACAAAATACCAATACCAACAGAGATTTTCATGGAAAAATAGACAAAAATATTGTAGTACGGTACTTTACATCATTGTGGTCCATGACGGAAAAACATTCTACTCCCCCTCCCCACAGCGGTGCCACTGACTGAAGTGTCTTTAGGCATTCCAAAAGGGGGGACATTTCTCATCCTAATGCACAATAGAATTGTAAATGGGCTGATCCAACAATGTCATGCTCATAACTGTGCCTGAACTACAACAGGGAACTGCTGCTTTTTCTTTCCTAATCCTTAGTATCGTCATTTTCCTCTACCTCTTTTGTAAGTTTGTCACACTCTTGTGACCCACTATTTCCGGGGTGCCTTGATAGTCGAAGCAGACTTTGTGCTGTTGAAGCTAGAGAGGAGAGCAGAGTAAGTCTGATTCCCTGTAAGGACTTCTCTGTTGACATCCACCCCTTGGCGCTCATATATGACCTTTTGCAGTTGCGAGCGCTGTAAAACCTCTCCTAAAACAAAAAACATTTTTCTACTCAACTGTCCAATAATTGTAGTAAGTGGCAAAAGACTATTCTACAGTATGCTCTGCAAGCAAACAGTTTCTATTTTTATTGAAACAAAAATATCCAATAGTGTGCCCACATCCTTCCCTGTGTAAACTTCATAATTGTATGTGTACCCATTCATCGAATCTGCAACCACCCGTAACTTCATCCCCCATTTAGTTATCCTTTATGTATTGCCTGAAACTGTATCTCCCCTTATTTTGAACCATCCTCTCATCTATGCTAACACACTGGTTAGGTTGCCAATACTTCATACATTTCATACTCAAAAAATAGTGCATAAACCTAACTTTCCGTAGCTTATCAGTATCTCGCTCAGTGTCTGGATTGCATAATTTTAAAAAAGACTGAATTTGTATGAAATTTAGTTTGCTCATGTATGCTCTTGCCCATAGTCCATGAAAACAGGTTTTCGTAGACCAGTACAGCTCTAAATTTGGGAGACGAACAATAGACATATACATTAGCAGTCCAACGAACTTGAGGAACATCTCAGAGTCAAGATCCTCCCAGGAGCGAAAGACAGATGGTTTGTTGGGTCCTGTCATCGGGGCGTACTCATTAGAGAAGAGGCAGATCTGATTCACCATCTCAGTGCAGAAAAACAGTTTGAAGAAGGATACTGAGGAAATAAGAAGACAAGAAGAAGACATAAGTTACATAAGTCATTTGGAAAGGATAGTCTGCTTGGAACACTGACATCAATCGAACTGTCAGAAAATCCTGGCCCACAAGGTAATATCAGTTCTAACTACATAATGGCATCAAGAGTGTTTTCTACAAATGAATAACAAAGGTCCCCAGGTGTAACATGTGAATCAGAGAACTCACCTGCCTGTCGGAGTGAAGTAAGGGCAAACAGAAAGCAATTACAAAAATAAAAATTTCTCGTACTCCGTGCAATAATGCTCTCACCTGGCGTCAGAAAACTTCGGATGTCCTGTCGGGTGATTCAGTCAGGGAGATGCAGGCCAACAGCACAGCAGGCCTAAACTGAGGCAGTGGTTCTGGTGGGCCATCATCCTGGTCCGCGTAAGACTGGTTACGTGGAGGTTGCGGCTAGTTCCTGAGGGAAGAAAATAAGCAAAGGATTAGGACGCTATCGGCGGAGTCGAAGTTGACATGTTGATAAGGCCTATGTCATAGGCACTTATTTCTAGATCTAGATCTAGATCTAGACAGAGGCAGACCTTGAACAAAGCTGTTCTGTCATTATCATCATATTATCACAATGATAAAATCTTAGCAGGGAATAGGGCTACTGCACACGGGTGAGGTGTAAACAAAAACAAACTTCCTGTTTGAGGAATTGCTGTGTAAACAATAACATGACAACCGTAGCTAGGCACATAAAAAAAGTTAATTAAAATTTTTTAGAGGCAAACCATGCTTTCACAACTTCAGGTTACCACAAATAACTATTCTGTAAGCTTGAAGTAACAATACCAGTGGCCTAAACCCACTAGAATACATTTTATAGGCTTTCTTGTGCATAGGCAGGATGTAAACAAAACACTAACCTGTTGTTTTGATCACGATTGGTCAAAGTCGGGGCTTGGTTTCCGTCCTCGGGACCCTCATCGTCCGATTCTGGTACCCAGACATCAGATTCTTCATCCATTGAGTCATTCAGGTCAATATCAGACTCATCTGACGACATTTTTACGCTTTTTTCCGATTTTTAGTGTAGAAACTTCACAGCTGGCCTTCTCCCAAAATCCAAAATGGCGGCGGAGAGAACGTAAACAAACGCTGATTTTCCGTGCACCAAATTTTTACAATATTTTATAAATTATGATTATTTTTATGAAAAATATATAGATTCAACCTTTTTTTATGATAAAAAAGGTATTAGAAGCATCAAAATGTAAAAAGGAACGGATTTCTGCTGTTAGATCTACACCCGATGCTCATCGTACGATTTTCCTTTCGGTGAACTGCTGAGAGTTAATAATAGTTGAATAATGCGATACCGAAACAACACATTATCACAGTGTGCAGGGGAGAGCGAGGTGCTCGGTCGATTCGGTGGTTCGGCTTTTGTAGATCTATGCATTTATTACCTGGCCTATTACTAGATCTATTAGTGTTGTGAAAACTTCAACCTCTACAGCTCAGGCGTCAAAAGATGCTGGAAAATAATAATACTTCCTGAAGTTTCATAATTTATTTTTATACAGAATAACACAGTACACAGCCAGTAGTTTTTATTTCATCAAGTTATAAAAATGGCCTTCGTATAAAAATTGCCTTGTTTTCAGAAGCAAATTTTAATAGTTCTAGTTCTACCGAATCGATTTTCACGCGAATTCAACCATTTTGATGATCTTTCTTTCCCTTTTAAAAAGATGTAGATCTAGGCCTGTCGGATGTGGCAGTGCGAATAACACTGAGTTGTTTAGATCTAGACCCATCAAAACACGAGGCTTCGTGGCCGATCACAAAAGTCTACAGGGCTTATCGAAGCCGATTCGCCCTGCTGCGAGCACGTTCACTAAACTGCCTACTAGATAGAATATACTACCAAATATTCTCTACACGATCTTTGCTACTACTACTACTAGGCCTACTAGCCTACATGTACTACTACGAGACAGTACGAGAAAGTGTCACTCAGGCAAAGATAGTGTAACATTGACTCAGCCACGTAGTGTACACACTTTTTATACCCCAAATTTAACCCGGAAGTCCATTCGGAGGATTTGACCTTTTCACTTGACTAAAGTATGCCAAAATGGTAGCCTAACTTTTGCCCCTCCATGAAGTAAAATCTGGCCCTCATTCAAACCATTGGGATTGAGCAAAATTTTGCGTATTGTGCTTTGTTCTTTACAATATTCATTATGATTATGATTTATAAGTTGTACACTGAGACAAAACCGTACTAAATGAGAAAGGTGCACCATTATGAAAGTGGAACGAACTCAGTTGCCTGAAAAGGGTAGTTTGAGCATGTGTGGCCTAAATAAGCTAAACCCCCCTCCCTTACCTTATTTAGGCCATATGTGGCCTAAATAAGCACTCCCTTATGATTATGATGATGTGTACTTCAGACACCCATCCTTTCTGAACCTTACCTCTTAGGTATTGAACACAAGAAGTGTGGAAGTGGAAACTCGGGTGGTGAAGTCTTCACACTGCCACAGGATGTCATTTTCAATTTTCCATAGTGATAGAGACCTTTTAACTTTACAGCAACAGAAAATTCACATGATATAAGGACATGGAACGCAAGAATCGCCAACGCCGACAAGATCCAAAGACAGCTCAAAAGATTGAAATGAAAAAAAGAGTTTATAACAATACACCCGTTCATATTTAGATCTAACTAGATCTAGATTAGATCTATCTAGATCTAGATCTACTGCCCTAGCTTGTTTCTGTTGTTTTTGTATGATTGTTGCTTTTTTGTAAGGTCATTTCCTTGTTGTTGCTCCAGGTGTACACTGTACTTGTACATTGTACACACACAACAGTCAACACGCTTTGCCTGACCCCTGACCTCATATGTTTCCAGATTTCCTGTTTGTTGCACTGTAATATAATAATATTATGTGTTCGCCAACTAGATCTAGTATAAGCAAAAAAAGTTAAGTAGAAGTCTATTTCACATGCAAAATATCTATTCCTCCTTTTTACATCTATTTATTGTCCTTTGTTGTATCAAACCTTCTGTATGTTTTTTTTTTCTTTTTATGCATTCTTATTATCATTATCATCAACCGCTATAAATGGTTTTATTTTGTGATATCTGGGCATACAATCTCCGCTTCAGTTTTTTTAATATATTATCAAAATAACTTTTCAAAAATTGTTTGAGCAATAAATTGTACGGATTTTTGCTTTTTTTTTCATTAGCAACGAATTATAACTATATACATGTTTGTTTCATTTTCTTATAAATTCTTACTAGATAATCTCAATAGTAGTATTATTCCGACTCAACTTGACGACACTGTTTTTTAATAACCGGATGTAACCTCATTGTGACGGCGGTTGATGCGTCTCGAAGATCAACAAACAGGTGCTAGCACGTTCCATGATCAAGAACAAGATCTTTTTCACCTTGTACATAAACGTTCAAAATGGTAAGATGATTACAACCGCACTTTTGTGTAGTTATTTCCCATTATATATGTCTTCAAATCGTACAGCCTTTAACGAACGGCTTAATGACATGTAATCATATGAGTTTGTCATAGGAAAATGGCGAGGCGTCGTTAACGACAGCGTTCATTAGGTTCATAATATAACTTTACTAATCCTTTGTCGGACTTAGTTTGTACTTCATTGAAAGTTTTAATTAGAATACATTTACGCCACATTATTTTCACTTATTGCAAATGTTCAGTGTTGAAAGTCAGGATACAACAGTGGTGATATTGAGTTCCAAAATATAAATCGCAGTGACTATATAAATATAAACTATAAAGATATCTACGTCGTTCACGGTGCTGTGAACTTAGTTTGCAGGCTATGTTCACGGCGCCTTGAATCTTCAAACATAGGCTTTGAGGCATGACTGAAACGCTTCGGTCGCTCACAGTGAATAAACAGCACAGGAATACTCGTGTGTCAAATAATGCAGCTGTGGACCGAATGCAACGGAAGGCGAAGGTGTGCACAGCAAAACAGCCGCAGTTGACAAGGCCTCACTCGTTCAGCACGCAGAACACGACTGTGATTCTCTTCCTGTGTGCAGACACGTGCATCGCTCGACGATTTAAAAATAAAAGTCGTTCGAAAAAAACAGGGAGAATGGAAGAAGGCCAAGGCGGAGGGTTGGGAAGTGGTGAAAATAAAGGAGAAGCGCAAAAGGGAAAAGTGTAAGTGGTGAAGTGAGCAAGATCATTCTTGAATTGCAAACTACATTCAGGGCGCTGTGAATCTAGTCACTGCATATTAATATCGCTTCTCATATTAAATTCTCAGTTAATTCAGGCTCTGGAATTATTGGGTGGGGCTGTGAGGAATAGTCACTCAGACTGTTCTTAACTGACTGACTGCTGTTACCAACACTGGCTGTATCAGTAGATCTTTAAACATACATGAGAAACGCTAGGTTAGCACCTCTGTGTGTTTTTATTTCTTCCTTGTTTTTACACTTAAATCTATATATACCGACCCGTACACGGTCTCGGCAGTTGCAGAAAGGGAAGCCGTGCTATTTAATGTCTGTTGAATTCCATAGTTGCACCCGTGGATCAATTTGTATAGCTTTTGTAGTTTTGTTTCGTGAGGTGAGTTTCAAAGGGTATTTTTGAGAACTTAGCTCAGCGTTTCCCTATTTTAAGTTGAATTTATACATTGTTCAACCTCTAAATCATTTTTACACATGTATTTTTATTGGTTCTGATATTAAACAAGGCATACAAGATGATCCCAAAAGTGACTTAGATCTCAATTATTCTGTTTAGAAGGGTTTAAAAAATGTACATTTGAGGTTGCTTCATGTACTCAGTCAACCAGTAACACAAGTAATTCTGAGTTTATTTTTGTCCACTTTTAAAATTATCATGCTAGCAAAAGTATGCCACCTTTTGAAAATGTGTTTTTATCCCAATATACAGGACCTACACAAAAATTATAAATAGTGAAAATTATAAAAGTGTGTACTTTGAATAATTATCTGGCAACAAAATACCACAAATGTTCTAAAATCTGACTGCTCGTGTTAAACTGGGATTTCAACCTCTGCCAGTCAGTGAAATAGTCCTTGCCTTGCATCAGCATTTCAGTTCATGGCTCTCCTGTGACAGGACTCTTGGTCCGTGTCTTTTAAGCACATGCTAACGTTCTCGGACAAATAATTCCAAGCGTTTGCCTAAACATAGCCTTGGAAGTGACGGTATCCTTTACCATCTCAAAAAATGACTAGTCGAGAATGTTCATTTCTGCAGAGATGTTAAGTAGTGGCCAATGACATGCTATCCTTTATGTGTACTTAAAAACTTAATGCCTCTCACTTTACACCCAAAACTATAATCACCATTTATTATGTACTAGGAATATTAAAATGAGACTAAACCTGATCTAATTTTGAACTGTCAAAATGAAAGTACTGTAGGCTTTGCTGTTGTCACTCACAAGCATTAAGTGGATGTGATGTACTCTAATACCTCTACATGCTACTTAATCAATTACAGTGCTCATCATATTCTTTTTAATCTGTTTTATTGAAGTGCTGATTTTCAGAAAACTGATAATAAAAATCGATCTGGGAGTATTTCTTGCAGATTGTTAAAGGTAAAAGTGTGTTTATCATGTCTGAAGATCTTATGATAAATCAAGTATTTTCTGAAACATGTCTTGGGGGTCTCTCGAAACCTTTCCTTTTCATCCTTTTGCTGTGATAAGAATTGTAATTGCCTATTTTGCTCTGTGATTATGATCATCTTATCACCATTTTTACTAAGATTTAAAATCTATGTTTGCTAAATTTGTTTCCAGTCCAACTTTAAGAAAACAACCCTGGCAGGAGGTGGGCGCAAGAAGACAGGCCCAAAACCTGAGCTGACAGAGGAGCAAAAACAGGAAATCCGAGAGGCCTTTGATCTTTTTGATGCTGATGGGTCTGGAACGATTGACGCAAAAGAACTCAAGGTGAAAAGCTAGAGCAATTTTTGTTCAGTGATATCCACCTAAGGCCCCACCCATAAGGAATAAATAAAAAGAGGATCATATAAGATGGAACTACTGTTTATAAAGTCAAATTATCTTTCACGTTTGAAATCTGCAGATGTGGAAAAAAAGGTGGTCTCAGCATGCTTTCTTACACAATATTTCGACTCGAAATATGTAAAGACCTGGCCCTTTGTGAATGTATAATTAGCTCAGTTTTTATCATTGTGCACTGCAATTCTGATGATATAGATTCAAATCCCCATGTTGGAGTTTTCATGGCTCTACCTTGAATAGCTCAGACGTATTGACAATGGACCTTGATTTAGAGGTCCCAACTCTTACATGTTGTAAGTGTTTCTTCTTTGGGAACACTCTCGCTCATCTTAAAAAAGAGATCACATGTGAATACAGTTAAGTTAGAAGCTGGTTGAATAGTGAAAATGGACGTCCTTGTGGTAATTATGGTGTAGATACTGTGAGCCGCTCAAGGTAAATGGAGAATATATTTGTCACAACGTTTTGGAATCAGGCATGAATTTTTTGGCATGTGGGGTTATTGGTATCATCTAAAAGCTTGTTCATATGTCTTGCTTTTTATGAAAAAATACCTATCAACCTTGAGTAGAAGTTAAGATATTTGCGACTGAAGAAGGTGGGGGGGGGGGG